GCGGTGCTGTAATCACCTTAATGGTTGCCCTGAGTGAGCAGAAAGAGAGAGAGAGAGAGAAACGCACAGGCAGACAGAGTGCGAGAGAGAGCAGGGGTTGGAAGAGAACCTGACGCGGGGAGGAAGTTGAAGAGGAAGGGAGACGGAGACAGAGAGGGCGCGGTAACGTTTCCGTGTTTTACCTTTCCACGTCGCGCATCCGCCGCAATACATAACGCGTCGCTCCGCTGCGGCAGAGGCCGTGCTTTACTTGCGGCCGACAAAACGAGGGACACTGAGTGAGTCCCTCTGCCGAGGGAGTACACCACTGTACTGAACGTCACTGCGGAAATGAGTGTGTACACCGCCTGGAAGTCTAGTCTAAAGATTGGGGGATCGTCCGCAGAAAGTAAAGTACGCGTCCGTATTTCTCAGATTCTTCCGGCAAAGTATACAGGCAGGAGCTTGGCGCCTGCTGAAATCAGGGTAGGCCACCCAGCAGTGCATGCGTGCACCGGATGCAAGATGATGCCTACCGCCCAGGCGCTACGAGAGCTGCCATCGGCTGTAGTTGGCGGTTTGGTAACGGCAAATGGCGGACGTACTTTCTGGGTACTCCCCAATGAGATGTGACTAGATTTGGGGGGCAAGCCAAAAAAATCTGTCAAGAACTGCTCCATCTCTATCTCGCTCCCCACTTTCGCTCTCTTGCTCGCTCCCCTAGTTTACCATCTTGCTCGCTCCATCTCTCGCTCTCTTGCTCGCTCCTGCTTTCTCGCTCACTCTCCGTCCCGCGTGTCTCGCCGGTACCGCACAAGTTAATTGGGTACACCGGCCAAGCCGAGCCCCAGCCCGCAGCTGGTAATGGTCTAATCGCCACCTATTGTACGCCGTGCGGCACCACGTGAGACACGGAGAGAGAGAGAGAGAGAGAGAGAGAGAGAGAGAGAGAGAGAGAGAAGGAGGGAGAGAGAGAGAAGGGGGAGAGAGAGAGAGAGAGTGAGAGAGAGAACAAGCGGACAAGCGCAGTCCACAGGAGACTGAGGGACTAATTATTCACACTACGTCGTCGTATACACAGAAGTGACTCCACCCTTAGCCTCTCTGCCACATGTGGTCAGTTAGGCAACTCGACGGCCCCTGCCCTGCCAGTAGTAGTGGTCCGGGTGTCTCTACGTCCTTCCCAATCCCCCCCCCCCTCTCTCTCTCTCTTTTACTCTCTCACTCTCTCGTGCTCGCTCGCTCTCTCCCGCTCCGACCATGTCGACTAAAGTACCCTCCCCATTCCCCCTTGCTGCCTCCGTCCGTTCCGCGAAAACTTTTCACTAGGCAACTTATCGCTAACCGTTGTTCCGTATTTCAAAGAGGAGAGTGGGGAGTGCGGCGGGGCGGGGCGGGGCGAGAGGGGGCCTCCCGCTGCAGCACAGCGCCGTGCAGTCAGAGCAGCGCGGCGCGACCCGTCGCCATGGAAAAGATCGAATTAGGGAAAAGGGGGGACTTTTGCGGCGGCGGCGGCAACAGACGTCGTTTTACAGCGAATTATACGTTTCTGCTGCGGCCGGCGTGACTCGAGTGCCTTCAGAGGGGGCCGACTCTCACACACACCGACGTCTTCATTGACTCCGTATAGCGCGAGTCCTTCGGCAGCGCACGGCGTATACACAGACTCTGTCTCCGCGGCGGGCGAACGACCTGGTGCTGCCGTTCAAGGACCTCCCCTCTCTGCTTAATCCTTCTGACCTCCTCTTCTCTCTTCTCTGTTGCAGTACATCAAGGAGACGCAGCAGAAGCCGGGCGCCAAAGGAAAGGTGAGTCTTTTGTCTTTCGTGACGTTGCGCCCGCGGCGCGGAGCGAAAATTGAGGGTGGGAAATGTGGGAAAGTGAAGGGGGGCGGCGGTAGTTGGAAGGGCTGGTCTCGGATATGCCTCCGCGCAGGTTTAAAAAATGCAGCCCCGCTCTTGGGATGAGGTGGAGGGGTGAGGGGAGGGGCGGAGAGAGAACGAGTTCGAATATGAAAGGGGGGAATAAAGGGGATGAAAGATAGGTGCAAAAGAGAAAGGGCAGGCAAAGGGAGAGATTCAAGGAGAGAGAAAGAGAAGGGAAAAGTAGAGTTCGTGAGTGAATAAGACCAATTGCAGCCCCGTACCACTAATAGCCACCACGCTCGCCCCGCCCCGCCCCGCCCTCTGTGCCCAGATTCCTGTGTAGAGCGGTCTCTATGTTCGCGGTGCGCACACCGGTGGACAGCAAGCAGCCTCATGCTGCCTCCTGTGGTGCAGCCTGGAATCCATACGCTCCAGTCCCTTGCGCGCTCACCAACCAACGGCGGCGACGGCGGCGGCAGCACTCGCACGCACTGCGCGCCTTTTTCGCCTTCACCCTCTTTCTCTTTTGCTCGC